GAGTTTTCGTGTGTTCATATTCATGTTCATCTTCATCAGCATATACTGGAAGATGAAGAACATCTTCATCTGAAAACCCTTCATCTTGAAGAGTTTTTGTACATCTTCATCTTTTGGTATATTTTTCATCCAGATTCAAGTTCCTTCAAACTTTGATTTGGTTCCAGATTGGCGTTCCTTCAAACTTTGATTTGGTTCCAGATTCGTGGGCTAGGGTTTCTTCAAAAATAAAATTGTTCATCAGATGTGTGTTTAAAATTGATTTCGCTTTCAGGTGTGTGTTTGCAATCAATCATCAGTATCGTAATTATACTTCAAAATCGAAATCAATTCCAAATACCATGAAGATGAATATGAATGGGTCTAGAAACGAGACCTGAAATCTGTCATATGTGAACTGGAGATGAGTTCGATTCTTGTTAGGCTTTCTTTATCATAAACAAAATCGATTTCAAATTTGAAGGGTTTAAACAAAATCGATTCCAAATATTGAAGAATTTGAACTCAAAATCTGTCATGGATGAACTTTGATTTCACATTTGTTTCAGATTTGTTCCAAAACCATGTATGAACTTGAGTTTACATGTATTTCATATGTATATATTCCAAAAATCTACCATGAATGAACTCGAAATCTGTCATGGTCGGAAAAGATGATCGGAGAAGATGACCGGAGCGCTAGAAAATGTTGCAGGAGGTGGAACTTAGCCCCCATAACAATTTTTATCTGATATTATAGGTCATAATGGTATGTTTTAAACAAAAAAACAAGTTTAAGGATTAACAGTGCACTAAAATAAGTTAAGTGACCAAATATATACAAATGATATAATTTGTTACCCTCTCTCAAGTCATTATCCCGACCCAAAAAAAAAGAACCATATTTCCTTTTTGCCCTTTGAGCCCTAAAAGAAAAAACGCAAAACACAGCCTCGCTTCTTCATTGACGACTCCACGAAAGCAAAAAGCTTGAAATCCGGTCCTCCCTCCGGCGACCTCCACACCTTCTCGTCCCCTGCCATTGTCAACCTCCACAGCAGCTCAGGTAAGCATGCTTTTTTGTGTTTTTTTTTCTGAAATTAGTTCATTGAAAGCTTGAAATCCGGTCCTCCCTTCGGCGACCTCGACACCTTCTCATCCTCTGCCATCGTCGACCTCCGCATCAGCACATGTAAGTGTTCCTTTTTTGTGTGTGTGTGTGTGTTTTTCTGAAATCAGTTGACAAACTGATTTTTATGGGATGATGTTGAAATCCGACGATTTATGTATGTTTTAATTTGGTTCGACTCTTTTTTTTCTTCTTCTTCTGAAATTAGTTGAAAAAAATGATGTTTTAGACTATATCCAACTTAACTTTTAATTAAAATAATAATTTTGGCCCTTCATTTTTTTAGTTGAAAAAACTAAAAAAATGATGTTTTAGACTATCCACACTTATGACCATATCCAACTTAACTTTTAATTAAAATAATAATTTTTCTTTCATCATGGCCAACTTAGAATTGCAACTTATAACAATTTTGGCCCTTCATATCAACTGGGTTGGTCGCCATCTTTATTTTTTATATTATTTTAATAGATTTATTTTTTTGTCTTTAGTGGGCAACTAGTTGCAATAGAATACCGATGAGAGTAGTCTTCTGTATGAAAATTTGCATGTATGTTTGATGAATGAAATCAGAAAATCTATATGTATGCTTTATGTATGTTTGACTTTTTTCTTTTTCTTGTTATGAAATCAGAGTTTATGAAATTTTGGTTTATGAAAGCATAAGTATGTTGTGTTAATTTGGCTGATTTATCTGACTTTATCCTCGAAATCAAATTTATGTTGGTTGATGAACTGTTATGCATCATGTTGGTGAACCTGATGAAAAAGAAGTTTATGCATCTTGTTGGTGAACCTGATGGTGTTGCTCATACTTGCATATATGTACTTGTTTTCAGAATTTTCTAATGTCAATAGGTTCTAGGGTGCAAGAGAAGGTGGAAAAGGCTATTAAAGATGTAATTGTGACGCAAGCATAAGATATGATAAAAAAGAAGTTAAAATGGAATTATGATGGAAAAAGGCTACTAAAGGCCAGCATGAGTGGTGTAATCGAAAACGCACTCCTTCATTGTCACATAAGTGTTACATCATTTTTTACAACAAACGTATGGTTCCTTGTCATACCCAAGGAGTGGTGTCACACTTTATTTAAAAAAAAATAATTTAAATAAAAGGTTTAATTTTCTTCTCACCCAATCACAAAACGGTCAAATTCTTCCCACCCAATCACAAAATGTGGTCATTTTTACCACACCCAAGAGCGGTGTTCGCTGCCTAGGTGGCAAAACCGCACTCCCTCTACCGCACCACTCCCCTAAGTCTAAAGATGGAATTATGGTGAAAAAAAAGTTAATTAGTTTATGAACTGCTATACTTGCATATATGCATTTGTTTTGAGAATTATTTTTTTTTATTGTTTGTTTTTTCAGACTTGCACTAAATAACATTGTAGCACTAAATAACATTGTAGTTTAGTATTTGTTGAAAAAATATGTAATGTTGTTGTTTATGTGTTCATAAGATATGGCATCTCAATTAGTTCAGTTTTAATATTATTGTTTAGCATATTGTGTGGTCATTGTCACAATTTGAATATGAAAATAGAAACTTAAATGTTACTTAACAAAAAACAGATATTTTTATCTAACAAAAAACATATTTTTTATCTAACAAAAAAACAAACCAGAAAGGTAAAATAGTCATTTTTAGTTTCTATTTTTTTTAGCTTCCAAACTTCCATCATGAAAGACTTGTAATATTTAACACTCTAGTCAAGGAAATCAACATGTAAGTGGACTCACCACTAACCAATTGATATCATGGTGGTGGTGATGGTAGGGTGTTTTCACGGTGATTGTTACCACTGCCGTCGACGGTGGCAGTGTGTGGTGGTTTAATTAAAGAGAAAAAGAAGAAAGAAATATACCTACTAAGCTTTCTAGCAACAATCAAGCTCTCTTCCCCTTTCTTCTCTCTCCCTCCCTCTATCTATCTATCTCTCCGACATCAAGATGGTGGCACACAATGACTTTTTGTGGCAGTGGAGGTAAGATATGGTGGTGGTGTTTGTGTGATGCTCAAATCCGTATCCCACCCCTATAGAGCTTATAATTAGTAGGGTACATCTCTCTATAGGCTAGGTTTTGGGCTATTGGGTAAAAGGATGCACCCTCTTTAGTCCACCAACTTTTTTCAAAAATTACACTTTAGACCCTTAGTTTTCGGATTTAACAAAAATGGTTCTTCTGGATAAGAACTCATATAAAATAAGTTTCTAACTTAACCGATTTAGTCTTTCATTAATATTTTATTAATTATTTTCATTTATTTTTAATTAACATTAATTATATTAATATTCTTATTGTTTTCATTATTATTAATATTAACTTTTTAATTACTTTTACACTTCTAAAAATATAATACAATGCTTTTAAAATAATAACGGAAAAACGGGATGTTATAAGGGATAGTAGGTATGGTGTCTCTAAGATGGTTGGTAGTTTGAGAGTTGGTTTGAGGGACAATGGTTTGACTATTTTGTTATGTTGGTTTTTGGTATAATGGTTTAAGTTAATCTTTTGGTACAATGATTTTAGTAATTGCTTCTTGATTTCTTTTTCGTATGTAAGTATGAAACAACATATGTCTATTTTTAATGGTAGTTGGCTGTATAAACTAGACATGATGTAATGCTTATTTTTGTTTAATGTTAAATGTTTAAATAAGATTGGTCCTTGATTTGGTTTGATATTGTTTTAGTAATATTATTTACTCCTTTTGAATGTCATGTTAATGATTCATTTGTGCCCATTCAAAGTTATAGACGATATTGACCATAAGTTTGCAACATACCAATAACTAATTACTACAAAAACATTTAGTTGTAAAAGAGAGTATAAAACTACAAAATTGTTAACATTAATTTACAACCCACAAACCTTTCATTCAAAACCTAAACATAATACATCGATTTGCAACCCGCATTTCAAAACCTTCTAACAAAAACACACACACACACACATTCCCATCCTAAAACCCATCACATCCATGACTTAGAATCCTTTGATGATTAAAAACATTAAAAAATCCAACTTAAATAGCACATCAACTTGTATTTCCTGGCAGAATTAAGATTTTCTTCAAGATCATTCCTTGACCTAAGCAAACCTAAGATAATTTTAGCAACCCTATGACATAGTAGAGGATCAAACCACCCAAAAAATCTAGACCCGGTTCCAATCCTTGTTCAAAACCATAATCGTCTTCCAGGGTTAAGGTTCGTCTTTGAAGTTGCAATGAAGGAATTGCTTCCACAAGAACAAATTACCATTTCATTTTTGGGAGATAAGCACAATTAATTTTTCATGGGAACAAAGTGTAAAGGGGTGAGGTGAGGGAGATGGTCCCTTTAGGTCCTCAATTAACTATAGATGGTTGTTTGAGAGAGGAATACCTTAAATTACTAAACTGCCCCTCATGCGAGGGACACGTAAGGCTCATTTATGGTGATGTGAAGACGTTAACTTAGCCAGAGACGATTTCTGATGAAATTGACTATAATATGGACTAATTGTGTTAAAACTGAAAAACTATGACTAAAATTGCAGATTTATGTCAATTATATGAACTAAAACTATAATTTTCTAAATAAGGTATATAAAATAATTAAAAATATAAAAATTATAATATGACCAAAAAGTCTTTTTAGATATAGGAGAGACGAAAATTATAAAAAAAGTAAAACAATAATTATGATCTAAGTTAAAAGAAAAAATTAAATACGAAACATGTAGATTAAATAAACTCGGAGGAACATTTTGTTGGTGAAATTTATAAAAAAAAATAATAATAATAATTACTTAATTAAAAAATTGCACTGACCTGCTGTCCTTCTTTAAACCCAACGGTAGGTTGTATCCCGCCATATCACATACGCTAGCTTTGTGCCATGGAGGAGGTCGACGAAACAGAAGCTGTGCCACAGGTGTGTTCGACACCATACACTCATTCCTTCTCTTAATCACTACATTTTTCATCTGATCAGATAATTACTTATGCATTTTCATATTCTGTAACCCTAGCTTTCATCCTTTCCTTTTTCTTGTCGTTTTTTCGATTAATTAGGTGTTTTTGGTGCTGATTTTAATATTTTGATCGCGCCTCTTAATTTCAAGTGATTTATTTGATATTTTTTCATTATCTTGCTTCGAATTTGGAGAATCAGTGTTTAGTCATCAGATGTGATTCTGCATTGTTGATATTCAGGAGAGGTAGCGTACACACTTAAACGAATTTTTGCAAGTCCGTATCTCTCAATTGCAACTTATTGTTGCAATTGATAATTCTGTAAAATAAAGTGAGCAATCCTGTGAAAGATGAAAAAGATGAGAGAAACATAGAAGTAACAGAAAGAGAGGGTTTTCATATCAGTGAACAAAATCATGCTGGATACTCTCTCAAACGGCCTTTACAATGGGTCCAATAATGCCTTCCTACATGGAATGCACTACCCACCTTTTAACTAACTTTGTGATTATAGATTCAGATTTCAGATAAAACAAATTATTACATAAATTCGCAAGGACTGATTTGAAGTCGTTTAACCATGGTCTTTCCCTCCATAAACTAATTTGACTTGTGATCTTTTCACTTCCCTTCCTCCTCGTGGGACCCATGTCCCCAAGGATCAATAATGTTATTTTTGCTTATCCTGAAATTTCATGACATTTTTATGGCTTTTCTATGCAGGTGTACATGGCATGCCTCATGCATGGTCATAGGTAAGCTTTCTTAGGTGAACAAATATCAGTAGTTGGTAATCCTATTGCAATAAATAGCATTATCATAATTCATCTATTTACCACAAATAATCTCCTCCAACCATTAAGACTAGCACCATGATGAAAAAACTCTGTTTATCATCATCCTTGAATCAGAGTGCAAAAATAATATTAGATTTAGATTTACATTCTGTAATCTATTTTAAAGCTTTTTATTACTGGACTTAACTCTTCATCAAAATCATGTTGCCAGAGTTGGAATTTCCTATTATGATACTCTTACACGTGAACTCCATGTGCTTGAACTTTGGGAAGACAGTACCTCAGAATTTCCTCTAATTGATATGGGTAAAAGATACTTCTATATTATGTGATTATGTCAGCTTTTAAGATTAGGTCATTAGGCAGCTTTTTTCAGTTTTAAATAACTCTATCCCTTTTCTTAATTTCTCAGTCAAATATCAAGTTAAGCCCTTGATCATATACACAAGTACTAAGAGTGAAGAATCTCTCATATCTGCCTTACAACAAAATGGTAATCTCATAGTAACATTGTATTCTTCTACACACTAAACTAAGCCTGTGTATCTTTTATTCACTCTTGTCAGTGATAGTTATACAGATGGTGGAAGTGAGGTGCCTACTGTGAAGCTTATGAAGAGTTCAATCTTTTGCTATGAACAAGCATGGCACAGGTGTAGTATACAGTGGACACTTCTTTGACATGTTCTCTCTAGTTTTTTCTTAACTTCTCTTTTGATAGTTTTCTTGCTGTTTTCTCTCTATTTACATAACACAGATTAGTATATCTTCGAGTAACAGGGATGGATGATGGATTAAATATCAAAGAACGAATCTGCTTTGTAAGTAATCACATGATTTTTCTAAGTTACCATGTTTTCTTTGATCACATTCTACTTTTCTTTACATTGTAGTTAAGTTCAATGATGGATATTGAGAGTGAAGTTCAAGTTCGTGTTAGTGGAGGACTTCTTGCCATATTGGAGAATGAAAGAGTTGTGGATACAATTGAACAAAACGAGTGTGGGAGTATATCAATTACAATCGACTCTGTTATGCAAATCTCATTGTAACGAATTTATAAAATTTCATTTCTTCATAGTAAAATAAAATGATTAAAATCCCCTGGTTTTGGTTGTATAATTTTTGCATTTGAAATGCAGAAACAAATTCCTTAAAGTTGACTCAGCAGCACACGAGGCGTTGCAGATATTCCAAACAGACAAACATCCAAGTCATATGGGTATTGGTAGAGCAAAAGAAGGGTAATTTTCTTTTTTCTTTTTTCCTTTTTACATATTCTTGAATATGTAGTTACCACTGATTAATATTAATATATGTTTATTTGCAGATTCTCTGTCTTTGGCATGATGAATAAGGTGTGGGGATTGTATTTTACTTTTATGCCCCCCTTACCTTTGAAATGCTTTCTAATCAATGTTTCCTTTTTTAGTGTGTGACACCTATTGGTAAACGCCTTTTGAGGTAAACACAGATTTTCAGCTTTAAGTATTGCAGTTATAACTTTACATACATGTAAAATTTTGTTTTTTTCTGTAACAGGTCATGGTTTCTTAGGCCCATATTAGATCTTGACAACTTGAATAGTCGTCTAAATGCTGTATCCTAATTCCTATCTAAATACAAGACCTTTTTATTTTTTAGGAGATGTTTTTTTTTTCTGTTTTCATGAAGGAGAATTTTTTCTATTTCAACAAACATCAAAGTTTAAGGATCACTTTTACTCGGGGATTCTGTGCTATATTCCATTTATACAAACATGTTTGTTTTCTTTGATAGATTCAGATATCATTCTTTGTTTCATCTGAAGAATTGTCAACTGCTTTACGTGATACATTGAAATCTGTTAAGGATGTTCCCCATATACTTAAGGTGCACAATCAATTTCTATTCACTTTTTTATCACATTTTCATTATTGTGATGGATACTGTGAACCTAGATTTCTAAAAGCATTAGATTATATTAATATTTTGATGGGTAATTCAGGAATTCCCGTTTCGAATTTCAGTATTTATGTAGTTGTTTCTAGAAGATTATCTTCAAGTCTATTTATATACCAATAACTGTTTGTTTGGTTACTTTGGTATCATATCTTTCCCAGAATATTCATGCTTTCTGTATTTCTATTTTCTAATATGTAATTTTTGCTTATCTTTTTCATTTTCTTTTCACAAAAGAAATTCAACTCCCCGAGCTCCATATGTACATGTGGCGATTGGACTTCTTTTTTGAAGGTATATTCTTTGCTATCTATCTCACCCTTCTTGTAAAGTTGTAGGATATTTATTATGTTTTCATATGCATCTTGAGTCATTTATTACACAACTGTTTTATTATGTTTTATATGCTTTCATCTTGTAGAGCCTTGCTGCACTACTGCATATCAACAAGATATTTGAACTCGGAATTTCTGACAATCTTCAGGAGCATGCCAACTATTCAAGTCTACATATTGTTGAGAAGGTATTAAGTCATTTATTACACATCTGTTTGTTTTTATATCATTGCTTTAGTTGTAAGTATTCATTGGTTTTTGAGTTGTGAACAGGCTGCTTCATGCATCTCAATGGACTTGGCTTATGTATATGAACTGGTTTGTTAACTTCTCCTTTACATTCTGTTGTGAATTTGTGATCCTTCATTTCATTAGATGCTTCTTCAAGTTAGATTTAAGTGTGTTGTAAGATTAAATAAGTAGAAAATTGAAACTTCAGATTATATTCACAGAAAAAGGATGGAATTTATGTCGTCTCTTGAAACACAAACTTTTAAAATCTGAAATCTAAATAATGCTAAGGTGCTCTATAGATTTTTCATCCCCCTTATTTTTTCTGTATGCTGATTTATTGTTATTTCTTTAGGTAATTGGTGTTATTGATGTAAATAGAAGTAAAGAGAAAGGCTATGAGACAAGTGTAAAAGATGGTTTCTGTGAAGAGGTTAAACACATCATAAGTGGATTTTTTTAATCCTACATTATAATCCCTCATATACTCCATTCTCTTGATGAATCTTTCCTTCATAATCAAATGCAGTTAGATGAACTGAGACAAATATATGAAGAATTGCCAGAGTTTTTAGAAGAGGTACTCTTAATTCCCATTATGAACAATATCATTGGAACATGAAACAAAATAATCCACTACTTTAACAGGTGTCTTCATTGGAATTAGCTCGCCTTCCTTACATGTCTGGAGACAAATTGATTCCACAAATCGTTTACATAAATCAAATAGGTTTGCTTCACTTCTACACCATTTTTGATATAATGTAAGATAACATAATCAGATAATCTCTTATGCATAATACGATCCCTTTGTATTATATTTCCAAATAGGATACTTGATGTGCATTTTTGAAGAAAAGCTAGATGAACATGATCTAGAGAAACTTCAAGACTATGAATTTGCTGTAAGTTTGTTACTTGTTATATCATTCTAAGCATATCCTCTATATGAAATCTTTCTCTTTGCCCTAAAATTACAAAATTGTCCCTTTTATAGTTCTCTGATGAAGATGCTGAAGTTAGAAAGTTTTACTATCGCAATGCAAAGACACGAGAATTGGATAGCCTTTTAGGAGACATATATCATAAAATCCTTGGTATGTGATCTTACAAAAAACCAATTTCTTTCATGTGTTTTTTTATTAAAAAATTGTGAATACATTCTGTTCATGTTTTAGACTTACATTAAGAAAATCTCTTTTCTGCACATAAAGTATGCAACTTTTGGAATTAATCTGATTTGAAGGTTGTTTTCTAGACTGAATAAACCGTTTGAATGAGACTAAATGACCATTTTACCCTTACAACATTGGTAATGTTGTTTGTCTAGATAAAATGTTGTATACATAAGGTCTGGTTCTTTTCTAGGCTGAATAAACCGTCTGAATGAGACTAAATGACCGTTTTACCTTTACAACATTGGTAATGTTGTTTGTCTGGATAAAATGTTGTATACATAAGGTCTTTTTCTTTTCTAGACCGAATAAACCGTCTGAATGAGACTAAATGACCTTTTTACCCTTCCACTCCAAAAAGTAAATTCATCAACTTTAACATGAGGGGAGTTGGGAGGAAAAAGAAGGGCAAATAGGTAAAAAGTTATTGCCATATGTCTAAATACATTAAGCCAGGTTTTTTTTGGCTTAACTCATTAAGTCATTCTGTCAAGATTAAGTGCTTAACCCATTAAGCCCATTAAGTAAAAAAGAAACATCCCCTTAATGCTTAAAATATTTGTCTAAAGTATTTCTAGTTTCTTATTTTTTATTTACTGTATCTTTTTTCAAGACATGGAAAGAGCTATCACAAGGGACTTAGTGTCGCACATTCTGGAATTCTCAATACATCTAATCAATGGAGTCAAATTTGCAGCTGAACTTGACTGGTCAGAGTTCATTTTTAATTTAATTTTTTTTTATTCCTTTTTTCTCTTTCATTTTCTCATTATATTCTTTATTATTTTTAGCCTTTTGTCATTGGCATTGGTTGCTCGTCAAAATAATTATGTAAGACCAACATTGACTTCTGAAACAGTGCTTGATATTCGAAACGGAAGGTTATATTTATTTATTTATTTAAAAAAAAAACTCAATACAATTTTATATATAAAAAAAAAAATCACTTCTAACATTTACCTATTGTATGACCAGACATGTTTTGCAGGAGATGACAGTTGACACATTTATCCCTAATGACACAAAGATCATCGATCAAGGTATATGGATTGTTGTTAATTGTTAAAATTGTTAAAATTGTTAAAATTGTTAATTGTTCTCATCATATTTATTATTTATTTCTTTACTTAGCTTTTTAAATTACAATTTTTCTTTTCAGGGAATATTCATATCATCACAGGACCAAATTATTCTGGAAAAAGCATATACATAAAGCAGGTTGATCTTAATTAGTATGTTTCTTTTCTATTTGTAGTTTTTTTCATTATAATAAATTAAATACATTTTTATTTTAACTGCAGGTGGCATTGATAGTTTTTCTTGCCCACATTGGAAGTTTTGTTCCTGCAGATGCTGCTAAAGTCGGTTTAACCGATAGGTTTGTTGCTTTTTACTAATTTACCCTTGTATTTACAGAATGTTCTTAAAAATGATATTTTACTTTTTACTAAATCATAGAATTTTCTGTGCTATGGGAAGCAAGGTTATGGCTGCTGAACAATCCACATTTATGATTGATCTCCATCAAGTTGGAATGATGCTCAGGTATCTTTTTTTTTTTTTTTTTTTTTACTGAATGATATTTTAATAATCCAACAAATTATTGCAAGATAATATTTTTTTTTTAAAAAAAATTTCATACTAATGTTGATTGCTTTAAAGGCATGCTACTTCTCGATCATTATGTCTACTAGATGAATTTGGAAAGGGAACACTTACTGAAGGTTAGTTTTTTAAAAATTTGTTTATTTGATTTTGTATGTTATGGGGACAAACTAACAATGACCATATTACCCTTTTAAGATGGTATTGGTCTCCTTGGTGGAACTATTGATCATTTTATCTCAATGTATTCTCCTCCAAAGGTTTGTTTAAATCTCTTTGTTTTTTTTTTTTAAAATCAGAAGTTGAAACTAAAAACTTATGTTTTTCAGGTTCTAATTTGCACTCACTTGACACAAATATTTACTGATAGTGATTTATCTGAGGTAATCAACACAACGTGAAACCATTAAAGTTGTTAGTCATATCCATTCTGATGAATTACCATTTCTATTATTTTTGATAAATGCTAGTCAAACAAAGTCAAATACTATACAATGAGCGTGCTAAGACCTGACAACAATAGTGAAGACATTGAGGAAATTGTATTTCTATATAGGTAAATAAATCTTCTAATTCGTTAAAACCTGAAAAGATTAAAAGTTTCTAAAAATTAAAATCTCTCTTTTATTATATGTAGGCTGATTCCTGGACATGCACTTCTTAGCTATGGTGAGTTAGTGTTGACTATTGACTATTCAACTTGGGTATATAATTTTTTTTTTTTTATTTTAAATGTTGACCAGTTTAATTATCTTTTGCAGGACTTCACTGTGCCCTACTTGCTGGTATGTTTTTTTTTATTGATTTTTAATAATTCCTTTATATTTATCAGTTTTTTTAAAATATTTGACTCGCATATTTTTATTACAATAACTTTAACTACAACCAAAATATATTATTTGTACAGTTTAATTACAAAGACATTATATTATATGTTATTGTTATATTACAGGTGTTCCTCAAGAAGTTATAAGGAGAGCGGCATATATATTGGATGCTACCACCAAAGGCATTCATATGGACAGAGTTTGCAATGAAAAGATATCAGCTCAAGATAAGCAATATAAGGTGAACTCTCTTTACTCTTCTTTAATAATATTATATATTGGATTCAACTTGTATTTATTTATTTAGTTTTTTAAGTTATAATTATTTGAATCAAATGGTAGGATGCTGTGGAGAAGCTGTTGGCATTTGATACTGCTAATGGTGATTTGGCTTCCTTCTTTCAAGATGTTTTTCCTGGTCAACCTTAAAACTAAGGTAAATAATATAGAAATTGTAACATGGGTTTTAAAGGACTAACAACGTAAAATTGATATGGAAAAATGTGACATTTTTTAAAGCGAATTAAATTCATAACTTGTGGAATTTGATTGATGCTCTTGAAAAGAAATGTCATTAACATAGTGATTTACTACATGAAGTTTGAATTTTAACCAAGTAATTAAAATATACATTTATCATTTGATTATATGATGTTTATCATTGTTTTTGTTAGAGAAAGATGATATCAGGAGGTGGAGTAATTGATTTAAGATATGTAACGTATTTAATTCAAGGTTTAGTAGTAATGTTTTTTGCCCTTTTAGGTTTATTTTTTATAAATAAATAACTTATTAAATATAATCACAAAAACTAGATTATAGCGCGTGTTTGGTGGAAAGCTTTTGAGAGCTTTTAGCTTTTAATAAAAAGTTCGATTTAAACAAAAAGTTTCGCTTAGGAGTGCGAGCGTTTAACCTTTAGTTTAAACAAAAAACTTCAAATCAAAAAACTATTTCATGTAGCGTTTAAGAAAAAATAGAGATTTTTTAATTAATTTCCAGATATTTATATATTTATCTTTTTTAAACAATTGTTTACATGTTTCAAAAGCTTATTATGTAATTTTATAAATTTCATAGTATATAACAAATACAATAAAAGTTACAGCCAGAATAGATTTGAAGCCATCTAACATATGACCAATTTTCGTCCATAATGAATAGATTTGAAGGTTCGAAGCATTTTTGAAATAATAAAGATTTATATTAAAGTCTGTTTTCGATGATTCCTACTTTAATGAACGTTATTCGTTATTTAAAGCTTGATATCGGTCAATTTAGTTATTTAGTGGTATTTTGGTTGAAAACCTGCAGAATGATGGTTGTGTCGTTGTGATGTGTAGTTGTAAGTATTTGCAATTTATGGCTGAGGTTGAGCCACAGCTTCTAGAAGTATTCTTTATGAAACATTGGTTTTAAATTGAAGACACCTATTCCAAAAGATTGGGACGTGTTACATGGACATGCTATTTACGTTGACACGTGTCTTACATATTATAGTTAGGTTTCCAAGATTTCGTGCGTTCTAAATTTTGTATGCATATTTCTAGATCTATTCATAAAAAATAATTCTGAAATAACAGTAGTTTTTAAACCGAGGTGGAAAGACAAACAAACAATAAGTTAATAAGTAGTGCTAAATACTAAATATTTTTAGATGGCAAAATTATTTATAAAAAAAAAAATGACAATATATGCATAGATTTTGGTTTTACAGCATTATTATGCAATGGCTGATCCAAAATGAAAAGAAAAAAAAAATTAGGAGTTGCACAAACATTTTAGGGGTTACTATTAGAGAAAGAAAAAAAAATGATGACAATTTCCTTAAAAAATCTCATCGTTAAAAGGTTTTACTGATACATTTCCACTAAATTTACATTTATCGGACTTTGTAGCAAAGTTCTAACAGATTTCCAACGGATTTCATATATATGACAAATTTTTGACGAATTTATATTAACTTTACATTTGATCATAAAATTTGAAGGGTGACATGTGCTACATATTGGGTCTGCCCACCCACGTTACTATGAATGAGGAGTTCTACAACATCTAGTGCAAGAAAACCAAAGTATCAAACATCAATGGTTTAAACATATGTTGATTTCCATGCATGCTTTTTTATGTTTTGTCATTTAGCATTAGACAACTTATATAGTAGTTTGTCTCGTAGTGGAACCCCCACTCATTTTGCCATGTTAGATCCATACATGTGTTTTCTTTCTACACATCCAAAACCAAAACGCTAGTTGATCTTTTTTCCAATAGGCGAGTTAAAAAGTTTATATGTGCTTTTTTTGGCGGAAACCTCAACGCGCCTAAATACGTCAAAAAGAACGTCCTTAACCATATTGTGTTAATACTTAAAACCCACGAGCTATCTACAGTGCACTACATGATCCTGAAAAGGAATAAACATGCCTTGTGACAAATTAGGTATATTTCATCAACTAGAATGAGTGGAATTATGAGATGATACCTAGTATAGTATGACACTCCAATGGTGACATGGCCAATACCATCGATATGAATAGCTAGAAGAAAATCTTAAGCATGTGATGCTCATAGACACTCAAAACTTGATATTTTGTCTAATAATCATATTGAAGTGTGCTTCCATGTTATGCACAATTTTACTAAAAAGACACTTGCTAATGAAGAAGCCTTTACCACCAAGTATAACCTAATGGGTAAAAGAAGCAAGTAGACATTAGACGTCTCTAAACAAGGACCTCCATAACCACCATGTCCTCAATCACCCCCATGTAATCCTTTATTAATGAACAATATTGCATCCTCCATTTGTACGAATTGACATGTCCTCATGCTAAAGAAAAATTTGCCAATATCCATACAAGATCGAAGTAAAAGAGCTCACTATACGAGTCACATATGCGTGGAAGAAGATGCATAGCATTAGCAAGTTGATAACTTTTTAATGGCTTAATAAAACTTGTGTCTCTGCTAATAGTCATCCAAGAAGCTTCACCCCAGTGAATAAACCCTCATGAAGCTCCTTACCATCACATGAAGACTATAATAGCTTAGTTTTCTTGATGTTTAGTTCATGACTTGTTCATGGACCACACATCCTAATGATGTCTAACACTCTGACAACCTCCTTCGATTCTCTAATGACATTCTTATCATCAAGATATCATGCATGGAGAAAAAACTTGCCATTATTTAACAAATTTTCAACTAACATGGCGATACCATCATTTTATCCCATGTAGCCAGTGAATTCATGATACATCGATGAAAGATTTCTTATTTATAGACATACTTTCATATTTATTCTTGAGCCTAAGCACCTGCAAAAAGTACAAAATAATGAGGAAGAAGTAACAACATAACTCATGCTTCAATGGGCCCAAGGTGAACATGTCTTTAAAACAATTTAATTACATATTTTGTTGGGAAATAATGTATACTCACTTATTTGATTTTTTTAGATAAAGTTGGGGATTTTGTTTTGTATTACAATAGTTTCAAATTGACAGTTTATCTAAATTTATCAAACTTGTTTATGTGAAGTGAACACGTTTAAGAAAAAAAAATGAAAACGAAGAGAAATAAAAAATAAAGACGGTTAATAGACAGAATCTCTCTCATTTTAACATTGGTGTTTTTTTTTTTTAAATAAATTGTACAAGAAAATATAAATTATATTTTATTCTAAAAGGCTAATTGTTGTGAAAAATTAAAATTATCAATATTTAAAATAACTACATTTTATTTATGATAGGATTTACTACAAAAGAAACACTCCTTCTTAACTTCGTTCCGAATTTTGGTTGTGGTCTAAGAAATCGGATATTCTTTCTTGTAGGGAATGTTAATTTGGAACTATAATTATTTGCTAATTAAACTGATCAAGATCAGTAGCATTTCTTATTGAAGTTTAATTAAAAAAATATTTTAAGCACTTAATTATTAGTTGGACCGAATAATTAAATTCTAGAGTAAATTACATTTTTGGTTCTCAAGAATAGCTGGGTTTGCAATTTTGATTCAAAAGTTTTCTGTTTCAATTTTGGTAATTGAATGAGAGTTTTATTGCTCTTGACTTGCTTGATGATCCAGGTATTCATTAACAATAAAATTTTATTGTTCGTAATTTGGATTTTTATGTTTATTTGTGTTCATTTACCTAAATTTGTGTTTGTTTATTATTGTTTATGTCCGTATTAGCTAACTAAACTACGAAGATGCAAAAAACAATTTCTTAAACAAATAAACATAAATAAATAAAATCATTTGTTATTTGTTCATGTTCATTCATTTGTTCGGTCAACTTAAATAAACAAACACTAACTAGTTAATTGTTGGTGACCGTTCAATTCATTTACAACTCAGTTTCTATTTCAAATGAAATAATTATTTTGTTCATTTAAGAATAACCGATTTTTATAATTTTGGTCCTAAAAATATAGTTATTTTATTTGAAACAGAGATAAAAAAAGAACTAAAATTACAAAAACCTTTTGTGACCAAAACCGAATAAAACAGCTAAACTGAAGGACCAAAAATGTATAATTTTGATGGGGTGGGGTCTAGTTTGTGGCTTTGGTAAACTGAAGGGGGCCGGCGGCTTTAGCGTCATATTGTATTGTATCCAATAATTGGAAGTTTTTTGTCCAAGTCAAAGTCACAAACACTTCTACCGTGGAGTCGAACGTAACCGATTACGTCTGCCTTTTATCACTCCAATTCCCATACTCCACTGTCACGTCACCGCTTACGTTGCTCACTATCTATGTTTGTTCTTCAAACAATGTTCTTATGAATAATCCTTATATCCAACATTTTGAAACTTATTGGAAATAATGTCTCAAAAAAACTTTACAATTTTTGGGTAACAACGATGTGTTTAATATTTTTTATTGATTATTGATATAAATATATAGCAATTATAATATATACAGCATACATGATGACAAAATATAAATAAATTACCATTGTAGGTAAAATCTATATATAAGTGTATTGTTATTATCAATGAAAACTATGCGTATATTGTTATTAGTTTATTTATTTATTAAAAGTAAACAAAATATATATTCATTGGTTTTATGAATAACAAATAAAAAACAAAATACCGTGTTATCTCTTACATTTTGCCTTATCTTACTTTTAACCTTTTCTGTTTTATTTTATATTTGGTACATAACTAAAATTATATTATTGGAAACAACGATGTCTTAGATGTATACAATGAAACTTAATCGACTAAACATATTGATCGAGGTTATATGCATTTAAATTTAGATCATACATTTTATCAAAATGATTATACTATATTTAATTTTAATTATTTTTAAAACATATTTAAATAGAAAATATTTGCTTCTACCTATTAACATAAGATGAAATGCCAATGTTGTACAAAAGATTAATTTTTATATCCTTGATTGAGGATGAAA